TACAAGATTATGTAAATATAAAATTTTTTTAATTATTTTGAATATATTATATCAACAATTACTGAAAAACATTTTTAGAAGATCATATATTTCCTAATTAAAATCTATTTATATCCTCATATATGCAATTTAGAGTAAAAAAAATAAATTTACCGCAAAATGGAGAATATTCCACATAATTTGCATTCTTTTAAGGCTCGTGATATGCATCCTGGAGGAAACGTACATATAAATGGGGTAGAGATACATATAAAAAATCAGGGCTGTAGTACATATAAAACAGTCTGTGTGGTGCCATAAAATATATCTTATTTTTTTATTCTCACTTGCCTCTGCGAAACAGTCCATTTTTTATAATCCAGCCTAAATATCTGGATTACATTTTGGGAGAGGCTTTAACTGAATTACGTTTTGAATAATGCGAGGCGCGTCTTCTCATGCTCAAAATCCGGAAAACTCCGGTAAATTGAAATGAAAAAGTGTTCTCCGCTGTTTCTGTTCCTCATATTCTAATCGTTCCGGTGGATGGAACTGGTTAACTGAATTATCTAATGCACAAAAGGGTAAACATTTTATGTCCAAACCCGGGGCGGTATTTCCACCTCGATTGCTTTTACTCTTGTGTCAGAGGTCGTTCAATCTATTTAAATGCAAATTGAGAAAATAGGTAGCTTATCTCTCTTACATTACATCGGTAAATCGCTTAAATGGTACTATATGGTATAGGTATATACGACACATTAGAATGCTTTTGAAAATTGAACGTAAAAATCATATTTTTTGTTTTTTTTAATAATATCAGAGAATTTTATAACAGCATCAATCTTGCTTAGCTTATTAAAAAGCATTACGCAGAGAGAATCTTAAATGTGTACATATGTTTTATATTAACTGTTTCGTGATATAAATGTGTCCATAATATAATTTTTTTCAAATGTGAGAATATTCATGGAGAATATTTTTTTAAATGTGTCCGTTCATATCTACATTTTGAGAACCGCTGTCTTCAGGGAAGGTAGTCAAAGGCCGATTGCCGAACTGATCTGGAGTCCGGGAGTCTCGGCTTTTAACAGAGTCGTACTCGGCCCACATTCTCAATGTGTACTTCAGTTCTCTGCTAGATTTTGCTTCGACTGTTCCATGCTTTTATATTATATGTCCGCATAAATCACTAAGTTGTAGACAGCACAGAAACATTTTTTTAATAAACTCTAAAGAGATATATACATATTTAAAACCTATAACTTGCTCAAATCCTACTCGGCTGCGACTTTTTCCGGGCCCATATTTTGTAAAATTTAATGAGTCACTTTTTATCCGAAATCTAATAATATTACGTTACTCTACTCCATATAAAATCATTCAAAGTGTTTATATTTACTTATATAAAAAAACTGCCACATTTCCATTTCATTCAATAATTTTGGTTCATTTATTTAATAAATTAACAACGTGATAACTACCGAGATACTAGAACTGGTCGCAGCAAGAGCTTTATGACGTACATTGTGAAAAGTCTAAATTCAATATATAATTTTTTCCAACATTTGCACACCCCAAAAAATAAAATTTGTTTGTAGGTAGTGTTAAAACTGCAAGAATTTTCCGATGAATTTAAAAAGAACTTAATCAGAGGGACTTCCAGAAATAGGCCCCTAAAAAAATTGTAGCATACATATGATTTGCAATTTTGAAGAGTTATAGTTTCCAAATAAGCGCGTTTTTAGGTAATTTTCCTAGCACAAGTTACTATTAAATAATGGACTACTAAAATCTTGTGTGAAGTCTAAATTTTGAATGGTGTTTTTCACTTTTACGAATTTTCTTAACTTTTATTATTATTTTAGTATCAATTTGTTATTTTCACGGACGGTATTTTTCTTTTAAGGGCATTTAAGTGTCATTAATTAATATTTTTAGTGAACTGTCCAATTGTAATATGTCAAGTTACATGAATATTCAAACGGAAGATATATCTAAAGCCTATTTTCTGTACAGTGAAAATACACAAAAATTTTATACGTAGATTAGATAAGAATGTATTTGTTAGAGACATTTAAGAAATGTGACTAATTAAACATGTAACTATAAGAAATTTTAAAGAAATATTGCAAAAGTTGTACAAGTTTGATTTTGAAAGAAATGTAAAATATTTATTTAAATTTTTTATTTTTTCTTCTTACGTCATATACAAAGCTACAGTTCTATGTAACACCGGCACCACTGCATGCATAGTTGATCTAAGTTATGCGTACTGCTACAGTGACACTAGCGGTTCTCAACAAGTTTTCGATTAAAATATCATGTGTATTTATTTCGAAACAAATGTTTACAATATAAAATGTACCTACTGCTGCTTAAAATATATGCACACATATAAGATTCACCCTGTATAAGAGTGTATTTAAAATTTTTAATTAGTAATTAAAAAAGTAGTTCATATTAACACTGAGTTACAGGCTGTTAAGTATTAAAGGAATAATTTCACTTATTCTGAATTTCCTGACACAATTGATATTATTATTGTCATTCATGGATAATGTGATTAATTGAATTATCATTTCTACTTTATAGATATTTTGAGAAAATTATTAGAAATGAACTCCTCCAGAACTACGCCTGTGTTAGAGAACCATGAGATCCGTATATTTTGTAGAAAATTAATAACAAAACTACATTGAATCAAATATAAATGAAATCGCCTCTTTGGTATTGCTATTCAGTATATTCTTATTTAAAAAAACTTCTTAAATTATGCGTTAAATATGATCTATTAAAATTTGTAAAGGTATTTAAATGCTAATTAAAACTGAAATGTTTGATAACATGAAAGATGGAGGTTAGCCAAACTTCTATACAAAATTTTATAAATTTTTCATACTTCAAATAAAAATTTCTCTCTAGCTTAATCAGATTTCACAAAAAATTTCGGCTCCTATCCCTGATGCTTGAACAGAATTTTTGTATAAAAGAAAATTACATGTTACGTCGCATACTTAAGTTCCTCATATTATTTTTTCTTGGTGCGATTATACATGATCATGTGTAAAAAAATATGTTCAATAATAATGTTTTATTTAAAATGTTGCCTTATTTTGCGAAAATTTAAAAAGTTACAATTTAAATGTCTTCCTAACGTTATTTCATAAATATGTGAAGTTTTAAAGTTTTAAAATTATTACCTATTATATTGCTTATGGATTATGATCTGCTATAGCTATTTATAATCAAAAGCTAGCTATTTATAATAAAAATTTGATTTGTAGGTTGTGTTCGTGTGAATGTAGTTTTTCATATAAATATAAATTATAACATCTTAGGATCTTATAAAGGGCAAACTTGACAGTAAAATCGATTCTTTATGCGTCTCTAGATGGTCAACACGAGTTCAGCGTAGCAAATGCTTCATAAAAAATTTTGTATCTAACACATTTCAAACCTTTCTGAAACAACGAAATATTTACTCTGAATTTGAGAATACAATTTTAACCCAGAAATCTTAAACTTACCAAGTTTATAATTAAGCAATTGTAATCTAAAACTAAAAATGTCTAACTTAAAATGATATAATTGAAAAATGTGTACAACAAAATATGAAAATAAATTACCATGATTGTCTTATATGTATCAAGAGTTCTATATAATTTTCTAACCAAATAAGTCGAAAACCAAGAAAGATATCTATGCTCTGTGAAAAACGTTCTGGATGAGCCACTATCAGATTCCACATGCCATAAAACCCCTGTGTACCAAATTTAGTGATTCTCGTACAACAGGGTTTTGAGATATAAAAAAAGACTATTCTTAGGGGCGGATTTCAGGGGACTGTAGCTCCGAAAGAATGGGCCACTTGGCAAAAATAAAACATACGGGTACCATAAATTTGTCTTAAGAATGTGTGACCAAGTTTTGTTGCATTAATTTCGGGCCACTCGGTATAGCAGAAACCAGAGGAAATAATTTAATTGTTTTTTTTTATAACGTGGGTGTAAGTAAAGATAAGCAATTACTGAAAAAATGGTATTCACTGTTTTTGTCTAATTTTTTCTTTAAATTAATTGAGGGTCGCCCTCTTTATTGTCAGAATGTACTTAAGACCACCCTATATATTCTCGTTACTGAAACTCTATTATTTTTCCTATGCATTTAACATTTTGGTAGTTTACAATATTGATTTTAAATCTAACATACAAATTATATAAGATGCCCTGGATTTTTTTATAACAACAGTTTGCAGTAATAATATTTACTTAATCTAAATTAAAACTGTCTTATAATTTTATATGTAGCAACACTGATGTATACCGGGCGATGTAACTTTACAAAAAATACAAATACTGTGCAAACAATTTGTTACGATTTTAAAATATCCATTGGATAACGAAAAAAATAATATTTTTTCGCATTAGGTAATTGTTAAGGAATTTAATAACGTCAAATTGCAAGTATGTGCATGTGTTATGTTGATCCCAATTTTTAAATGAAATAAATTCAATAAAACTGAGAGAGACCACGTTTCTCAAATTTTAAAATCCTTTATCTTTATTTGCATATATTTTTACAATAATTAATGCAGTACAAAGTTAACATTGCAGTATAATTGCCCTAATTACTGAATTAACAGAATCATCATGTTTCAAATTTTATTGATATTCCTATTTAACATTAATTGTTATTAAGTTGCATCTCATACTTAATAAAGCACCCTGTAAGTAGCGACTATATCCTGTTTGGTTGCAGTAAAGTAAATTTAAATTATCCTTATAACGATAGGTAGTCAAATATAGCATGAATTTGTAACTATATTTTAGACTGACTGCAATTATGATTCTCGCTTTCTCTGAAAATTCTAAAGAATTTTCAAGGTGTCTGTGAGTTATATCTGACTATATAACTGTATATTTTGTATATTTATCCTTCAAGTTAACCTTTCAAATATTTTTAGTGCATTTTAATTAGGGCGTAGGCCATTTAGGGTATTTAGAATAAACCTTTTTTAGAAAAGATGTAGTGGTGATCATAGAAGACAGGCGATTAGAAGATATTATAGAAGAAGACAACGAAGACAGTGATTGTTGCACAGCCAATGAAAGTGATCGGTAGTAGCTTCAATAGGTTTAGTTTTTGGTTTCAAAACGTTTATTCTACAGATTGCATTTAAAAAAAGAGCTAAATGATTGTGGGAATAATGGAAATCAAAATACAGGGTAAATTAGAAAAAAAATAGGTACTGATTTATTAGTTAGGATTGAAACTGTATTCATAGCAACTAAAGTTAACTTTTTTTTATTAATTTACATTGTCTACATATAACAAATTTTTATTATACATATCTTTTTGGAAGCAAAAGCATTTTTCATTTGAACTCATACTCTTGATGTTCTCTAAGTCAACCTAATAAGCTTCCGGAGGTTTTTCCTGAAGCATTTTTTGCCTAAACTAAATCCATCGAAAGACACTTTGTACCTATACAAATACCTTGAAATTCAGATTATAGGTGGATTTATTTTTTTTGTACAAAAATGCAACAATTGCATTAAATTAAAGTTAGAACAGTATTTTATTAGCTGGGGCATGTTTATCAAGTCATGTAAGATATTTTTAGATATTTGAGTAAATATAGTAAAGTAAGTAAATATATTTTTGGATTATTTCAACTAAAAATAGTTCAAGAATCACCTTCGTGGCGTTATAATATGAACTTAGGAAACATCCATCTGATACAAAGAACTGAAAAATTAATAAATCGAATTTAGTATATTACATATCAGAATATTTAATTTAATTTTCATAATACTTTACAACCGTGGGGAAAATAATCTTTACGCGTGTTGTTTGTACGTAAAGTCTAACTTTTTACAGTAGTGCGTAAAGTAAATATTTTACTAATGCGAAAAATAATTATTTTGTGCTGACGCTCTAGAAAATATCGGTTTCCAATCACTTTTTAGCTCAATAAAGTAACTGTACAAGCATTACTCAAAACTTGCAATAAAAACAAAGTAGGTATTATCACAGTCGGCAGAAGGTTTTGACGCTTATGTTTCTATTGTAGTTCTTTGATTCTCAAATTTGATGTCAGCACAAAAAATATTGTATGCGCTACTCTCAGGAACTGTATTTACAGGGCACTCATACGTTTCGGAACTCCACCTTCGACGTCGCCCTAAAACTGAATGTTCACGCTGTCACAGTAACGGTACCGATTGTTGTGTTTATTCTTGTTCGAAAATTTTAACCTTTTCCGGTTTGTGAGTTCCAGATTAATCTTAGATCGCAATTAGTTTACCATTTTGAAATCTATGCATTTTCAACATTGTCTTCAATATATTTCGTCCACAGTGATGACATAGGTGATAACAGCCAGGACATCCTTAGTAATTGCTGTTACCTTCTCCAGATGTTTAAGTTGGGCACTTTCTTTTCATAATCCGTCCTTAGGTTTTACCAGAACTAAATGCAGATTTACTTTCTGGGCTTCTTCAAGGACTTCTGATGGCATTAATGTGCCGACGGGACTTAACCTACAAAATCTTCGGCATGTATTCTTAAGGCATGACTTGAAACCACTGAATGGATAACAGTAGAACAAGTGCGATCCTATATCTTCTGAAAGTTGTCTAATAAACTCGCAAGCTCTTCAACAATTCTCGACTATCTATGGTTCACATGTCTGAAATTTAAGTTGCCTTACCCTGCCCTGACTGCCTCTAAATGCTGGTCTTCAGAACTTCAGAAATATTCTTATGTCTAGCTAAATTTAATACCTGATTGATCTCTGAGTCTCGCAGGTAATTAGTATGATTTTCTTCAAAGCACCTTTTAGTTGTGCCGGGCAAATATGTTGTTGATGTGCTTGGCTATTTTCAGTATTTGATAATCTTTTTGTTTATATTCAGCAATGGTTCTTAAATGTTGCCTTCTCTTCTTCGAATCAGTTATTTGCTGCCTTGAATTGTTCTTATCTTTCCATTAAAATTTGGCGGCTTAATTATTTAAAACCTTCAGTCTTGTTGCTTTGCTGAATTTACTTTCTTCTACAACTTGGACTTTGTCAAATTCATTCTGTAACTCGATTATTTGTCCTCTACCTCAGTTCTCAATTAAACAATTTTTGTCTTCAGTAATTTCTTTCAAATTTTTGAATTTATCCTTAATTCTTTAACTTTTTTATATTTTATCTTCATTTCGTCCTGGTTACTTTTCATTTCAATGTTTAATTCTTCTCGCTTATTCTTCACTTCTTATAAACTGTTCTTCACTTCATTCTGTTTGTTCTTCATATCTTTGTTCAAGTATTCTCTGAGATGTTTCATGTTCATTTTCATTAACTGCTTTAAATTTTCGTTCACTTTTGTAGATTTTGATCTTGTAATTCACTCTCAATCTCCAAAAGTATTTCTTTGTAGAACGTCGTACTATAACAACGTAACGTTCTCAGAGGACTTAACCTACAAAATATGAAGACGTCTTTGACAAAAATAAATCATATTTTATTGTATCTTGATACAACATTTCAGAATAACAAACTTCAACTACAAATGTTAATAAATTTCCCTTTTAATCAAATCGCCCTAGTCAAAATTATATTTAAAGATGGCATTATTTCAGTTGTGCACAATTTTTTGCATGTGGTTAGTTTTTTTGGTAGTAGATGAGGAAAAAAAATTGTTCTGCACGGGGGCGGACCGGGAAAATTCGGGAAATTGCCTAAAACTGTAAAAACAACTTTAATAATATTAGGAATTTCACAAACATGCAAAAGACCAAAGTTGTACAGCATAAAATTCTCTACAAAAAAGGTATGTGCGATATTTTTGAGAAAATTGTATTATGTCCCATAATTTTATATATATTTTTTACTCAAAAAATTTCGGGTGAAGGTGAAATAATATAAAGAGACAAGATAATCGTAGAAATTGACATTGACATTTATTACAACTTGAATGTTTTTTTAAATGTAATTCACAAAATATACACTAGGTCCACTGAGTTATCTATGATTACTCATCTTATCGCTATAAGGACGCTCTGTATCCGAAATCTCGTCGCCATTCTCTTTTTTATGGAAAAAAACAATAATCGCGATGATCCCACATAGTTTTCTTAAAGAGAGAATTATTTTTCCCTCTAAACTACACATAGAAAAAAAGTTTGAAGCTCCCCCTTTCGAACAAATTTTGTTTCATGCATTTTCATCAACGAAAGAGTAGTAGCACATTTAATGCAGCGCCACCGCCGCTATGAAATACGTGTTTTTCTGGCTGATTTGCATAAGAATCGTCATTTTATGTAAATCCCTAAATATCTCCTAAATAATGTACTTTCTGAAAAAATCAACAGAAACCTTTTTTGTAGAAAATTGTATGCTCTACACCTTGACTATTTGCATGCACTTTTCAAGTTATTCATGAAACATATTTTTTTGCAGTTTTCCTGCAATTTCCAGAATTTTCCCGGTCCGCTCCTTTGTAGAACATTTCTTTTTCCTCATCTACTAGCAAAATACTAGTTACGTGCAAAAAATTGTGCATTTCGAAATTACTGCTATCCAAAACCTCTAGCAACTGAACTATTTCTTTGACGTCTGTATTTTTCCTTTGTTTTGTAGGATAGATAATACAAACTTGCGCATGAATTGCAAATGTCGAAAACGTTGTTAGATTTTACGTATTTACTATACGTGTGCATAACGTATTACTTAACACATGACGACAGAAAATAATTATTTTTATTGTCTCTGTATTTTGATTTACTTTATTCCTTAGAAGAAATAGTATTGTCTGTTGATTTAAAATCTAAAATAGCATAAAGTGTGCCGTGCCTCTGGCTTTACTTATACTAATCGTGGCCAAATTTGGACCAACTCTTTTTCCTTTCCTTCTGTCAAACTGTTTTTCTGTCAACTGCAGAAAAATTGTGATGTAAACAAAAAGTATAACGAAAAATCAAACAGTCCTACGGGTTGAGAAATCAACAACAATAGCAACACAATCACATTCCTGATAATAGAATTTATAATAGCAATAACTGTTGTTTCTTATGCTGTAGTTTTGTTCAGTGCCTAGCTAGTTATGTAGAGTAGGTGAAGCTTATTTTTATAAAAGGGCCATCGAGGAGTCGAGAATAATTTATCCAAGTCTATGTAAATTTTTATAACTGTCGGTCATAGCTTTGTGCAGTGCCAGTATGTATTTCATTTGCACGTGTATATTTTCCATAAATTCTCATGCATTTTGGCAAGGAAATAAAAATATTTTATTGCTCTTCCTTTTAAAAGTGGCATTAAACTCACAAAACAGATTGAGGTGAAGTTATAACTATCTCAGACTCTGAAATATTTTGTATTTTAAAGTATAGGCATTGATTTTTTTCCTTCTTATGCCTTATTTTTTTTAACTATTTGAAAAGTCTTTTCTTATTAAACAAGAAAATCCATCTCAATTTTCTTCATATCACAACAGTTAAATAAATTTATTATTGATTTGATTTTTCGTGGAAAATGTTAAAAAAAAATCAATCTATATTATCATTGAATCGTATTTGAATAATGATGAATAGGTATGTATTTCAGAAAAGTTCAATTTAGTTTCAGAAAACGACATTTTAATGTTTTCTCAACTGCCTTCCTATTTCTTCTATTCTATACAGGGTGATTCACAACTTATCCAAAAAAATTTGGGAATATATGCGGCTTGAGAAATGGAGTCAATATTGTAAAAAAAAAATTTTGTAAAATCCTTATAGTTTCTGAGAAAAAAATTATTGAAGTTATAGCACATTAAACCACTACATGCCATGTGACTCCTAATACTGAAATCCGTCGTTGCGGTAGTTTTTACCTGTTATCTGTGGTATTTACATCAGTGTTTTAGTAGTTAGTGTCAAAAATGGCTTGCGTGTATAGCAACTCAGAGTTGATGGATATCGTTTTAATTTATGGTGAAGCAAGACAACATTTGTATTATGGTGGAGTATTTGTGTTATGGTGAAGCAAGATATCATTTGTGTTAGTTCGTAGAAAGTGAGTAAGACGGACCCAAATGTGTTTACACGTGAGTGGATAAAATTTTGAACAATTACTGTTGCAGCATCGGGTATGTCAAATGATTTTATTATTTAAAAACACAAATTAATTTTATTAATTAATAACGGCAAAAGCAGTTGAATTTGCCGATATAAAATAGGTGCGATAAAATTCTATTTACATATTTCTTTCCTTGCGAAAGTTTTTGCCCGTTTTTATCACACCGCCATGACGGTCGCATTGTGCTAGGTCAGGTTTTCCACTGGACCAGTTTCCAGTGCCGTGCAGAAGTGTATTTTTAAATCAATTTCGAACTGACCTTTTTGATTTTTTCTTTTTTTTCAAAATTGTATTTGTAAGGGTCCCCTGTACATCCAGAATTTTTATTTTTTTTTGATAAGTTCTGAATCACCCTGTATATCTGAAATTTAGAGAATTATAATTCTGAAATTATAGATATAGAGAATATGAAGCCATAATAACGGAAAAATTAAACTTTTTTACGTTTGTTGGATGATTTTTATTTCTCTTGAAA